GAAGAGGACGCCGTGCTAAGCGACATATGCACAAAAAATCCCTGTCCAGATAGGAAGATATTTTGGGTCTAGGGTAAATTTGTTCAGGAGTAGATTGTTAGTTCCAATCCCCTATAAATCTAAGAGTAAGGAGATTCTAACGGTTTTCTTGGCTAACGCTCGTTCACTTTGCAACAAAATTGACGAGTTTGAAGTGAATGAAACTTGGTTTCATCATGGATTTTAATCACAATGCTCTGATGTGGCTGGTTATTCGTGTATTCGCAATGATAGGGAAAGGAAAGGAGGTGGTGTTGCATTGTACTTAGCTAACAGATGGAACTACAATGTGGATTTGTGTTGTCCGAATTGTATTAAATGTCTGTGGGTTGAAGTGAAGGTGTCAAACTGTCATTCAATCTTTGTGTGTGTGGTTTAATATCCTCCTAAAAGTAATAAGCAACAGGAGCTTTTAGAATATTTATGTTCTAAAGTAGATGATGTCCGTAGCTCCAGAGACAATGGCCTATTCTTCATTCTGAGCGACTTTTAATGACTTTGACATTAATCCACTTTTACTTCACACATCATTTACTCAAGTCGTTAACTTTGCCACGCGAGGTAGAGCTTGTCTTGACAAAGTTATCCTTAGTAGGCCTAATTCGGATGTATACCAATCCCCAATTAAACTTCCGCCCTTAGCCTGTGAGCAGTCTGGAATTCTTTTGAAGCCAAAAATAGCTGTAGCTATGAAATTTTCCTTATCTAAGAGAGTTGTTAGAAACCATCAAGGAATCCTGCTTACGAAATTTTGGTCAAATTCTTACTCAGTTTGACTGGAGTAATGCATTTTCGACCTATAATCCAGAACAGGCAGCTATTGACTTTAAAAACATCCTTATGAACAATTATCAACATTGCTTTCCTACTGTGATATCTCGCTATAAAGAGGATGATAAACCTCTCATTATTCCATTAACGTTAGGAAATAACGTGTTGAAGTAAAGTCAACTATTAAATTGCTTGGTGTTCTGTTAGAAAATAATATGAAATGGGATTCCCAAGTAAAGGAAATGGTTTACAAATCCTCCCGTCGTATGTACATGTTGTATGTTCTGAGACGAGGTGCTCCTTGCCGCGGGATGATCTTGTATTTACTTATATAACATAAATTATGTAAGACCCATCCTAGAATACGCTAGTCCACTCTGGCATTCTTCCATTACGAAGAAGCAGTGTACTCAGTTGGAGTTTGTCCAGAAAAGGGCTACCAAGATCATCCTGGGATACAAACACTACCATGGATATCAAGACGCACTGAACATGATACTCAGCTTTACCATCGCTACAGACTTCCTGGTTAAATTTGGAAAGAGCCTTGTGACATCGGTGCAGAACCAACCGTTTATCCAACTCAACACTACCAATTGCAATTCATTTGCTGAACGACCAGAGCAGCTACAATTCTGAATCAAGTAGTTGTTAGGCCTATAATAGTATATTTTTAATTTCAATGAATATATAATATGAAGAAATGATTTTTTAAATCTCTAATTGTACATATATATTTAAATAATCAATAAGTAATAACAATTTTCATGTATATAGATTTATAATAATTAATTAATGTATATAGATTAAATTGAATTGATAGGCCTAAAGTTTGGTGTTTATTACTGTGGTATTTGATATTCTTGTTTTGTATTTATTCCTATAGTAAACTCAAAAGTATTTCAACTTTTATTGCATTTTGAGTAGGCCTATTTTATAACAAATAAATAAATAAATAATATTACTAGTTATGAATAGATATCCCTATTTAAAATAGAGATATCTATTAACAGAGATATCGCTATTAATAGATATATCTCTATTTTAAATAGTTATATTTTAGTTTTGAATAGAAATATCTTAGTTTTAAATAGATATATTTTAGTTTTAAATAAAGATCTCTATTAATAAATAGAGATAACTAATTTAAACAAGTGATATCTCAATTTAAAATAGATGTCTCTATTTTATATAGGTGGAGATATCTGTATTTAAAACCAAGATATCTCTATTTACGAATAATTGACAAGTCGGCTCACCATATTCACATCGTCGCGAAAACCAAGAGCTCCTTCTAATCATGAGGTCAACATAAGAAGTCATGCCACATGATTGATGTATCAACCATTCCAATTAATGACAATTATAAACGTATGCATTACTTTAATTTTTATTTCAAGTCTATGAAACATGATGTATACTAATGATATTTGAGATACATTTTGAGTTTTAAAAGAAAAACTGAGAACAGAGGAATAAAAAAAAAACCAATATAAGACAAAGTATCTCTTAATACATTGCACAACTTCTCCTTACTGTAGTTAGGTCCCTATCATTCAAGAAAGACAATAAAATCCATAAAATGACTTTTAAAAAACCCACAAATATACAAATATAAAAAACATCAAACAGATATAATAGAAAAATCCCATGAAAATATGCAGACCATTTCCTCCTCCACAACCCCCACAAACAAATTTTAAATCGCAGATGGCAAAAGACTACAAAACCATAAATAAAAACGTATTCAGATCAAACAATTTTAAACAATTCTCTGAAACCATAACAATATAATATTTGAACTATCATACATTGCAACAGAAGACTGTATGCTTATATGTAATACAGTACATCTGTGTACACCCCCTCATTGGTCAAGATCGTCGCCTTTCCAAACAAAAATAATCTTCTGCACAAGGGCAAAAATGTTTAGTTCCACTACGATTATTTTGCAATACTTACATGAGGATGTGTAATTGATTTGTTTGCATTTTATATTTGTTCCCTTATAAATCTCTAGATTTATATTGCAGTACATAAAAATGCTCAGTAATTAATTTCTACAAGTAATGTAAACATGATTATACAAACAATACATTAATTATGAATTTACTTGAAACTGTAAATGTTTTAGCTTTTACTTTCACCTTTGCGTAATTAACAATCTTGGAACAATCAGACGATTAAAAATAAACATCTCGTAAAAACACAAATCTGACAACACAGCTAATAATAAAAATACATACAGTATGCAATGGGTGCCACTTAAAATCTGATGAGCAAAAAAAAAATTAAAAAAATAAAAAATTACACTCATCACATTACACCTGAACCACCCAAGTAATATTCACTAACTTCCCCATTGTTCACCCCAACCTTAGCACCTCATGTTAATATCCCGGTGCATATAACCCTTAAGATGTGTTAAGATAGCTCATTTAAACAGATCACCTTGAAGTGGCATCTTCCAACTTGGGACCCCTTAAATAGTTAATTTTTCCAACAATCCTTCTAAAAAGGATTATTCTGAAACTGGATATTCTTACGAGAAATATCCACACAAATAACGCAGTATAATATTTATTATACAAATACACATAATATAATGAACATTTATTAATCCCCAAATATACATATTAAGCACTCAAAAAATATATTGTCTTTTAAACAATAGTTTGTGTTGAACCACATGATCTGATCTATACTTATTATGTTGTACACAGTAAAAAAATCTTCAGCCATAACTTTTCACTTTATTACAAAATGGGTGTGGTTTAAATAGAGAATAAATATACTGAAGACACTCCAAGACCAGAACCGCTATGTTTGTGTGTGGTTTGTATATATTGTAAACATTAATATGATGCTTATTATAGCCTATGTTTTCACAATACATAGTGAGTTAGTATAAACATTTTGGAGTTAAAAAAAAGTTTTCTCCCATTTTTCCTAATTATTCAAGACAAGGTAGAAAAAAAAATCAGATTGAAATCATCTCTGAATTTATTTTGTCCAATAGATATTCTTTGTCATTAGATTGGACGAAAACAGGACATAGTGTATTTCTATTTTGTCGATACTATTTCACAAGATATCATCATTAAGTATTTTAAAGTATGATCCAAATAAGGAATTCCTAAAAATTAAGAAAGCATTATGTAATTACAAATATTATTTATTAATAAAAGTTCAAGGTTCGAAGTACTGTAGTCTTCATTGAAACTTGAATTTTATTTAATGGAAGTTCAAGGTTCAAAGTAATCTTCATTAAATTCGAACTTTATTTAATGGAAGTTCAAGGTTCAAATTGCTCTTCATTGAACCTTGAACTGTATTTAATAGAAGTTCAAGGTTCAAAGTACTCATCATTGTATCTTGAACTGTATTTAATGGAAGTTCAAAGTTCAAGTTACTCTTCATTGAACCCTGAATTTTAATATCAAAGTTCAAGGTTTAAAGTACTCTTCATTGAACTCTGAATTAAGTTAAATGAAAGTTCAAGGTTCAAAGTAAGCTACCCTTCATTGAACCTTGAACTACATTTAATGAAAGTTCAAGGTTCATTAAAGTACTCTTCATGAATCCCATCCTGTTGTTGTCCCTCTTCCGTCATGTAGTAAGCCATAGTGGGCACTCTTTTAAGCGTTACACGCCCTCGCGTCATACCACGCAATCGTCGAAGAAATAGAAGGATTGCAGTAAGTACAATAATAAAGCAGAGAATGAGCAGATACTCGTAGGAGACCACAGACACAGGAATCCAGGGTGGCTGGTAATTTTTTTGGAATGACCCTTGTTGTATTTCTCTAAAAAACAATACACAAAAATGGATTTAAATTTACAGCCCGCCACAGGATATTAACAATGTGATGTCTTAAGCCATGTTCGGAACAGAGTAGACGATTCTTGTACATAAACAAAACAAATCCAGTGCATAAATCCATGCATAACATCCTCCTTGGTCAAATTACCCAAGCTGCGCAGAGATTATAACCAAGCGAACGTTGCAAAATAAGCAAAAACCAGACTAACTTCCCATGCAGTCCATTGTGGACAGCACGACTTTGTTAAATCTTGCTTATACAGCACCACAAACTTCGCTGCATTTTTCCCACAACGTTTTGACTGACCATGCATGTGAGAAGACTTCTGACCATGCAGACACAAAGTCTTACTATATCAAAACTTACAGCGTACAAAATCAGATCTTGTGACCGAACAGGAAGATTTGGCTAGGGTACAATTACCCTTGGTGGGAATTAATTCAATGTAAACATGATCTTGAGAAGACCAAGTATATAATAAATCATTGACCCTATGTGCGAAATGAATTAAATTTCATTTACATCGATTCAATTAAGATAAATTTCAAGTTTCATATTTCAAAATACAGTACTGTACTGATTTATATTGTTTGTGTGCTGTCTGTTTTCTTTTTTTTTTATGAAACCTGTTTTTGAAATTAAATTATTACTTATTACAACACACCTAGATAGATCCCAGTCATTTGATTGGTTAATTTCGTACCACGTGACATTAATTATTTTGCCAATTTCATCGCTCATCGTTGAAATTTTGTTCCATTGTGCATTTTTTTTTTGTCCATTGCATGTTGCCTATGGATACGAAATGACTTCAACCTAATACAATATTTTGATTAGTTAAAAAGACGCAGGATCCATGAATCGATGTGATGTCACCTATAACCTCTATTACTAAGCCTACAACTTGGAGAACTTGTCTTAGCGGTGTGCAATGTATCGGAGAATTTGTTTACTGTAAACAGCTTTAAAGTATTCTAATTATGTGGATAATACTTCAAAAACTAGCTCAAACTTGTGCAAAATCTGTGTGGAATTAGGCCCCTATTTTCCAAAAATATGCGCTGACCGATTTCTAGTGTAGCCCCAGGTAGGTTTTGCGCAGAGGATAGGCCTAGGCCAGGCTACCTAGGCCTAGGCCGAACCTATCTATTTAGGTGTGTTATAAAACAAATAATGAATGTTTTGTATTCGTGCAATAGAAAGAATATTTTCATGAGTTAAAAGATTGACTGTTTCATTCAACACGGCTCCGCCTCGTTGAATGGAACAGTCAATATTTCAACTCATGAAAATATTCTTCCCATTGCACTCATAGACATTCATTAATTGTATATTATCATACAACATGAGAGGGTGAGAAAGCAGACAATCATAAAAGAGGGAAATACAGAAAAATAATCAGTAAGACTCACCTGAGGGGTAGATACCTCGTTCTATGTAAAATTGCACCTAATGTCCACTGAACTTCTTTATCATGTATAAGACTTGCTGTTCTAAAATATTTATAATCTTTAGGAAATTTAAATCCATTATGTAATACAGCCATCATCCAAGCTGACTTGAAGCACTGATATCTGTTGGGAGAAGCATAATATGATTTTTATATTTCGCTATCTTTTATTCAACAAATATAAATATGAACATAAAGACAGTCAAGTTTATAACAGTAAAAAACTGAATAGCTTGAATAGTTGTTAAAACGTGTAAAAAAGTCCTGAATGTTTAAAATATATACTACACTCAAACCAAATAATTAACAACATAAAATTAAAAAAAGGACACACCAAATGCAACAATCACGAATAGACAAATATATAAAATTAATCGTCCATGTAAAAAATTGCAAATGCACTACTATACGTGATGTAAAATATGTATAATGTAAAAGTGCTGATTATAGTGAAATAATTAATTATAATGATTTTTAATTTTTTGACATCCAAGAGTAAGTTTTGACTATTGCTATTTAAAAAAAATTTCACTTCCAACATCAAGTAAATTTGCCAACTAAGGGGGAGGATTTAAAGTAATTGTCACATGGCCCTCCCTGCAAGTAACCCTAATATTTGTGCGAAACCACAGTAATGCTTCATACCTGCAATTGTAAATCGATATTATGATTTACAATGCATGCACGAGAAGAAGAACTAAGGGATGGCATGAGGTTCATAATGAGATTTAGGAGTTCAGTTGTTTTTAAATCAATTAATATGTTAACACATTAATTTTTAGGCACAAGTGCTAAAAATATGCCAATAGTGAACTTAGTTAAGTGGCAATCCATTTATTTTTTTACAACAAACATAAATAAGTCGAGTGGAGTTGAATAGCTTGGTGGTTAAGGTGCTTGCCTTCCGATCACATGGTTCTGGGTTCAATTCCAGTCAGTGTTGCAGGATAGTTTCACATGACCACAGGAATTGAGCCCAGCAAGAGGAATTGAGCCCAGGACCCTATAATTGGAAGGCAAGCATCTTCACCCACCAAATTACAGCTCCAGTTGTCAGAAAAATTCCTGGTGTTTCCAAAGGATATAAACCTAGGACTCTTACATCAGAAAGTGGCAATAAATGAGGCATTAAATCACAGTTGGTAATCAAACGGTACTCTTACAAAACAACATTTTGAAAAACCCCTATAAAAAATTTCAATCAAAGCATTTGAATTGCTCATTCAAAAAATCAAATTAACTTCCCCTTCAAAATCTTTCAAACCGAATAGAAATTCTATCAATTAAAATATTATTAAAATAATAGGATGTATATAATTGAATTGACATAAGAATACTGTAACTCTCTACAGTCTATCCAGATGAAAATATTGGAAAGGGTATCAAAAAAAAATAATAGTCTGTGTTCTAGTTTATAAAATCATGCCTAAGATGCACCACTTTACAGAGTATAGAAACACAAACTTCTATGGAAGTGCATTTCTTAAATAAGTATATCAACAATCTTGAGAACATACTGCATAAGTGCATCAAATTCTTTCAAAATGAAACAGAAACTTCAAATTAGCAAAAATACAGACCAGAATGACAGGATGCAAATCATAAAATAAAGTAATAATTCATTTTAAATAGAACATTAATATTATTAGTTAATACTATTATTATTGGTGGCCATTGTTATTACTTTGTTTATCAGGTTATTCTCCACAAAGAAAATTGTACTTCTTTCCTACTCAAGCTGCAGGATGTCCTAAGTGATACCTTTTAAAGCTTCAAATCTACAGTAAAATAATTTGTAATGTAAAACTGTAATAATAATAATAATAGTGTAGTTTTATATAGCGCACATATCCATCTAATGCAAGATGCTCAGGGCGCTTGATGTGTGGACTAGGAACTCGATCAATGACTTTCTTCGCCCCTAAGGGTCCCTTCGTGTCTGTGCTACCCGGTAACCCGGTACCAGCAACTCTCGTCGTCCACCACATATATGGTACTAAAATAATTCTACAAGTTTTATCTAACCAAAATGAGTTTTCAATTTTAGAATGCAAATTATTTTTCTGGAGATATAAAGCTTTAAAAATGTACATCAAGATTTTTGGGACACCCTGTACAAAAATTCTTCTATGCCATTTTATGTAGACTATTAACTTATGTTTGGAATACAATAAAACAAAATAAGATGCAAAATGAGATGCCAATATGAGTGAATGATTTGACAAATTTTACAAATTGTCTATAAAGAAAAAAATGTCTTTATTTCCATCAACCTTACTTTAATCTATGTTCATCTGCCTTTGTATAAAGTCCTTTTTTTCTATGTTCTTCTATTAAAGACCACCGTGTAGCACAGAAATCCTGAAAATGACAAAATGAAAAAGGAATTCTATAAACATTTTAATAACAATCGTCTATTTTACTAATGAGGCACTTTTTAGTAAAAAACTAGTGTTGAAAATTCTGTCAAATCAATTGAAATGCGATAAATAAATGAGGAGGCATACATGGTATTTATTCTTAATTTACGGTACTCCTGAACTAGACGTTTTTTCAAAATTATTTCTGAGATAAGCAATGGCAAAAGTAATTTTATCTTGGTTAAGTATTCAAGAAATAGATTATAAATGCAGGCTAACTTACTGCAGCTGCTTTATGGTATCTTTCATATGAATAAGGCCCTCCAATGCGTAAAACATCCTCCATACAATACCAGTACTCCGAAAACCCATAGAATTCACTGTTTGCAAAGTTTATATCTGGTTGGAATATTCCATTGACAGAGCAGGGTTGTTTTTGGCAAGGAACAGTCTTGTTCAGTAATGGCTGAATTACTTGGTGGCATGTTGTAAAGTCTCCTGTTCCTTGTAGGTGGTATATTTTATCTCTATAATTTATAGTGCTCTGCATTTCCGTGGGCAGGCATGGGTCCAGGATTGGCGAGACAGGACTCAGGCCTAGTGATGTCAAAGAACTGTAATCAAATAGAAACTACATTTTAGTGCAAATAATAATTGTGATTTATGCTCAATAAAAAAGACTTTCACATTTTTTAGAATGTGTTTTATTTATTATTCTTAAATTACAATGTCTGAATTATGAATAAATAAACATACGAGTACAATTTTACATTCAGTTTTTGATTTAATATTGTTCTTACAAATCTGCAACTTGATCAACAAGTTTGTTAACAATTTGGAGAATAAATAAAAGACTGTACATGACAATATGCAAAGCAGTTAAAGAAACAGGACTTTTGGACACAGGACTGTGTGTGCGCTGAACTGTGGAGATATCTTGGTCCCCGGTTCAATTCCCATCGCTGGTGATGGGAATTGTATTTAAGCTGGAGGACTGAAATGCATGTTACGATAGCGCACTGTCTTTCGGATGAGACGTTTAACTTTAAGCCGTTGATCCCATGTGCATTATGGCCCATGTGCAGGTTTAAGAACGCAGTACATTCTTTGGAAAAGAGCAGGGGATTATCTAACGATGTACTGCCCAATCACCACCAGGAGGACCCCATTGGAAATAAGTCTTCTTCAAACTTTCGTGGGTTATCCTTGGTGTTTAAACCAAATAAATCCAAATCAATCCAACAACTCTTAAAATGCTTTCAGACAATTCTACAGGTTCACACTACTTCAACAGATGTTTAATAAATATGAATATTTGTCTCTGAAATGATGGATGTTTAATTATAACAATAAATAATTTTGGGATTAAACTAAATTAAGCTAAATTAAACTAAGGTAAAATATATTAAGAAAACCTGATTGACATCCATATTTATTAACCTTACCTTCTATTACTCAACAACATAGATTTAATTAGCATATCTTCATAACGACTTCTTGCAGCGTTACCGCCAAAACCAAGAAATGTTGTAACATAGACCCTGTACTTATGCTCCATATGATGTGCATCGCAGCCCAGGCTGAACTCCGCCAGTAATGATTTTGCCTCTTCCTCCTAAAATATAAAAGTTCAAAAACAATTTCCATTAAATTCAGAATTTCAGCATAGAATTTTGATTGGTGTTCATTCAATACAAGTCATGCATTTAATCTACAATGAAAATCAACAAGACCTAATCTATTAAACTCTGATTTTAGTAATAATAGGTTTTGGTTAATAATTGTCAGAACATGTAAATTTGCATAAATGAATAATTCATATTGCGACCATATATATTGGTCAATGAGTGTTGTTAGATTTAATGTATTCATTTATGTAATGCAACATTTTTAATTTCATTTAATTTTATTGTATTAGAGTTTATTCAAATTCTACTTCTATGCTGCTACTCATCAAAAGCCTTTCGGTAGATATTTCCAAATACACATTACAATCATAAAAAAAAGGAACAAGGCATTTATAAATTAAACTTTTGTAGATAAACAACAGTGCCATAAAGGATTGATAAAAGTGTAGAATGCTAATATCAATGTGGGTGTACCATACAATATAAACCACCAAACAATGCACAAAATTCAGATCTCATTTTTGAGATGCAAAGGCAAACATATATATATAAAAAAAATCAGTGTCACTCAGTGTTGAGTAATAATTTTAATGTTCTAATTAAAATATATAGCTGGTGTTTGAGTACAATTAATTGATAGGCAAGAGCTGCAAATAATCCTTTTCTTCAAATCACCTTACATCTTACTACTGAATAATAGTCAGCAAAAAGGTAAATTAATTAATCATGTAAAATGATAATTCTTATAAAATATAATTACAGCAAGCCAAAAATGGATAGCCCATTAGATTTCATTCTTCACATAATTTAAAATTTTAATCAAATTACAGTTGTTTATTCTCAACAACATTAATAAATTTCTGTCCAGTATTATATCAAATTTTCTTTGACAAAAAAATGTATCCATATATAGTCATGATGTGCCTATATATAGTCATGATGTGCCTATATATGGTCATGATATGATGTCATCATGACCATATTTAGGCATGTCCCACGTTTTTGTCAAATACAATTTGATAGTGCAGACAGGGCTTTAGAAGTTAGTATGGTAAATATGAAAATCGAGCAAAGGTGGCTAAAGTACTTCAAGCACAATCATATGTTTTTTAGAGTATGAGTTCAACTGCAATTCAATTATGAATCGCCACAATGACCTCAATGAGCAAATAATAATAAGTAACATAAAGATAAATTATCTGCTTTTACCATGGTTAAATTTACATTCATGTATTCAATATCAGTGG